GAAAATACAAAAATTTCATATCTATTTCAAACACGTGACAAAAAATCCGGTGATTTATGGTAGGGTAGTGTATATGTTAGCCAATAAAATTTAAGAATTTGATAATATCACGTGAATATCGACATCTACATTTTTGATGACTATAGGTGCCTTGCACCATATTCTAGTATTCTAACTTGTGACTTTTAGGTGGTACAGTACATCATCACGTGTGAATAAAATTTTATGTTGGGAAATGTTAGTTGAGTCATCTCTCACCCCAAATTTGACGCGAGAACGACCATGACAGAAGAGCAGTTGAAAGACGCGGAAAAAATGCTAAAGGAAGCTGAAACTAAGTTAGAGGACATTGAGAATATATTGTATGCTGATATGGCCAAGAATACGAAGAATGCCTTGAACACTTTACAAGAACGGTTAAGTTTTCGGTGGGGACTAGTAACAACACATTTAGAAAAAATACAGAAGTTAGAAAAGGATGCTGTGCGAGCACGCACTTCAACAGGTAGACTAAATTTAATAAACTTGGCTATCTTCGTTTATCTTGTAATATTACTTGCATATATTTATCATTATCAGAAGGGCGCTCAATGTTTTGATTCATTTGAGACGACTACTTGAGATGCTAACTTGAGTTTGTTTTTTTTAAAAAAAGCCACTTCTTCAGTTGAGAATAAAAGCAAAGGCAAGAGCGGAAATGAAAACGAGAGCGGGAATGAAAATGAGAACGAAAATTTGACGTCAAGAAAACCGGCTGCCGGCGAGTCAAAAAAGGGAAAAGCAATAGCCAAGAGTATCAATACAGACGAACAGTCTAATGAGGACAAGACTACTATTACGCCTATACAAGTAGAGTCAAGTGCATCAAACGAGTCAAGTGACGTAGAATCCGAGAGTGAGGGGAAGACTGCAATATCTAAGCCCATAAAAACACAGTCAAGTGAATCTAGTGATGAAGAGTCTGAAGATGAAGAGAATGACATTTCGAAAGAGATACACATCAATGGACGGAACAAGAAGGGGGACAAAAGTGATAGTAGCAGTGAAAGTGAAAGTGAAAGTGAAAATGAAAGTGAGAGTGAGAGTGAGAGTGAGAGTGAGAGTGAGAGTGAAAGTGAGAGTGACAGTGAGAGTGAGAGTGAAAGTGAGAGTGAAAGTGAGAATGATAGTGATAGTGAGAGTGACAATGATAGTGATGATGAGACTATCAAGGATTCCCCTCATGACGGAATCAAGAACAAGTTGAAAGTAAACAACATGGATAATAACGTGATCAATATATTTCCCTCGCTTCATACGCCCACTGTCAAAGCAAATGGATCTACTAATACCACGTGAGGCCTTTTATTGACAACGCATTTTATAGGATTTAATTGTATTATGTTTGATCATAATGTCGTCTATTTACTTGTTTATTGCTATAGCCCGACAAAACGGAATATGGACAATTGCACAACTCCATCGACAATCGGCAAGAGTGATTATGAAAATGATACATGGAAAACCCAAAAGAAAGCCAGACTGGTAAAGATCATATGTCAATTGAGTGTCCTGGGTTTTTGATAATGGATTATTCACTGTTTTTCTGTCGTTTTTTAGGAGGATCAAATTAGCGAGTATGGCCAGCGCGCGTATCGTGACCTATCTACGAAACGCGGTAAGGATTTCCGGACACAAAAGACCAAAAAGAAACGCGGTATTTATCGCGGTGGTAAAATAGATCTGCAGCCACGTTCAATCAAGTTCTGATTGAGTAATTGAAGATCATCGCAAGAGACAACAAACTAAAGCTTACCTATCTTGGAGATGTAAAAGAAGATGAAAATAAATTGTATAATATACTTATGTATAATGGTGGTTGTCTAGTGCCTTAAGCTCCAGGAAGAATGTGGAGCTGGACGTACCAACAAACGTTTAAACCTTGAAATCCTCAAGGAAATGAAGAACAAGTACAAGTAATCTTGATATAAGAACCCTTTGTATTTTTTTTTATAGAAATACGCACATTTTACTCGATATGTAAACATTATTGGTGTGATATTTAGACAATGTGCCTACGCGATATTAAGTTATAAGGGTAACACCAAATTTTTCCTAATTTAGAATGTCGTGAGAACATTTATGAGCTTTTTATTATCAGCAATAGAAGTTGAAAACGAATTGTTGCTATCGTAACATAGAAGATGTTAACAGACATGGCTATCAACTATCAAGAGAAATCTTTTCAGAGTTAAGGCTGAGCATATACCACAACCAATTAACGAAAAAGCTTTATCTACACTCTTATATAAAGTATATCAAGAGACCACCAAATATGCATATTCATTTTAATATAAGGGATTCTGTTATCAATATCTGTGGATAGAAAGTTATTTATTATCCATCACGTTTAAGCAGTTATAGAGTGGTATTCAGTAGAATCAGTCATGTCAAAATATGAGTGGTGGATAGTTAGATTAAATATTAATCTTTGACTATTTCCAATTGGCAGCCTTTATTAATATTTATTAACATCATTGTGTGAACCGTCCAATTCCCTTCCCGGGAAAACCACCAAACTCACTCCAAATCTGGCTACAACCTTGATGACAACATCGAAAATGATAAATATAGAAGGTGTAGGCCGCAATAGTCATCTGGAGTATATTATGGTTTAGCTTTTGGTTGAGACAAATAGATGGAGAATGTGTCAGTTAAAAGACTTTTATTGTCCCATGTTTTATATGAGTGCGCATTAATAATATTAATATGTTATTTTAGTTGCATGTATTAATCACGTGAATACACATTATTATTCTGGCAGCACTAAAATGTCCCTGAAAACCATGCTTTTTCTACATTCTCGTCCGCTAACTCCCACGATACTAATTATAAATAGCCAATAAAAGTGTATGAAATTGATCATGTGCATTCTTAGTATTACTACACATTAATACAAAAATGTTCCTTTCATAACAAGAAAGATCTCTTTCCTATTTTCAAACTTCTTATTCACCGTCCAAATGTATTGAACTAACGTGAGAGACATTGTTCAGTTAACCACGTTTGCCCATAGAGGAAACAATGCCAACACTGTCAATTTACCATATAGACTAACATTATTATACAGTAATATTCATCTCCTACACCGTCTTCGATGGCGACTTCAGCGCGCACTGTCGCTCCTCCAGTACCCCAAAAAGATTTCAAACCAATACCGCCTCCAAAAGACATTCCTCAAATAAAATTCTCCAACACTCTCACTGTTGGTCGCACACACTTACTTACTGATTCAGAGCTTGGGCTACTGACTTCTGAGAGTCTGGACCTCTCTAGCACCTATCCTCCTTCCGGGCACCCTAAATACGTCTCTCCACTTCACACCACTATAGACCTACTATTCGGTCAAACTTCCGCAACGACTACAACGGCTATAGCAGCTGACACCGCAGCAGAAGCTGCATCAATATCATCCTTTGCAAAATCTTACAATTCTGAGGATCCGTCAGCTTTGAGTAACTTTTCAGACTCGATGTCACATACGACAGATTGGCCGGTGGAGTCTGCGTGGGATGCGTTGGTGAATAAAGCGTCGACAGAAAGTGGCCCGGCTCGACTTACCAATAACCAATTATCCTATATTCCCAATCACTTTTTTGATGGACTACATAGTTTAAAAGAGCTTTATCTGGACAAGAATCTATTACGCGATTTGCCAGAGGAATTACTTAAGCTTTCGAAATTAGAATTACTTGATTTAAGCAATAATTGCATAACTGAATTTAATCCTCGATTGAAGTTCAGACGTTTGCGTAATTTAAAAAGATTGAATTTGGACAACAATATACTTACAGACGTGTCTACAATTAGTAAGATAAAAACATTAAGAGAATTGCGAATTAACAATAACTTTTTGAGTACACTCCCACCGGACATAGCCCGACTGAGAAAATTAAGACTTCTATTCCTGAACAATAATGAACTAGTTGCTTTGCCAGAGGCTCTTGGGCGATTAAAACATTTGACCGCACTTCTATTGAATAATAATAATATTCAATTATTACCAGCTTCTATATCTTCACTACGACATTTACAAGTGCTCGAAATACAATCAAATCTATTGACGCAACTACCGGACAATATTCGAGACTTAGAAAATCTAGTGACACTCGATGTCTCCAATAATTATCTGACTACATTGCCGAACGATCTTGCAAAATGCAGCAAGCTAACAAAATTGGATGCACATGGAAACATGATAAAATCTATTCCACAGAAAATCGGTCAACTCTCACGGTTGTCATTTCTTGATCTTCATAATAATCAGATCACCAACCTACCTAACGATATTGGCAGACTTACTGCGCTAACAGAATTGGATTTATCACACAATGAGATAGCTGTTATTCCAGAAGATGTTGGTAAGCTTGTTAAGCTAACGGAAATCAAGTTCAATGATAATCCGCCTTTGTCAGCGATCCCAGACACTCTTAAGAAACTACCATTGGTGAAGAAGGTCCATTTGCAGAATTGTAGCATAAGCCAGATATCGTTTGAGATGGGAGTTGCGTACAAAGATTTGTCTTCTTTCAACGTATCGTTTAATCTGCTGGATGTGATGCCGAGGCTCGATGGCATGGATAAATTAGTCACGCTTAACATATCCAATAATCGTATTACTGATCTTACCGAACAGATCGAACAATTGGAAAATCTTGAAGAGCTTCTTGCTTCTAACAATAAAATCAAAGTAATACCAAAGTCAATAGGTCGCTTGAAGGATCTACGCGTTTTGGATATATCGGACAATTTTATTACGGGGTTTCCTTTCTCGATTGGTAGTTGTATTAATCTACGAACACTGAAGATATCCGGAAATCCTATTGAAAGTCTTCCCGCAACATTGGGTAGATTGAGCAATTTGGATTATTTCTACATTGGTCAATGGCCAGTAGCTGGATTTACAGTACTCCAAGATGATAGTTGTGGTACCGATATCAAGATTAGTCCATACCAACAGAAAGTACCTCTGCATGTAGAACGAACGCTTCTCTGGCGGATGCACGATTCTATATTAAAAAGACTCCGTGAAATTGATAATAGTGATGGAGTATCTGAACACATGATATACCCTTCGAGTGAAACCGTTTCGCTAGATGAGAATAACTTTATACATCATTCTTTAAGAGGGCAGTCATCTCTATTGTTCCGAGATGATGTTGCACTGAACATGGTAGTGCTCAAGGGCGTGTATGATCAGATTCTCAAAGATACACGAAATCATGACAAGGAGTCGAGTGGTGAAGATATGACCGAATCTCCTGGTGAGAATGGGAAGAAAAAAAAGTTTAAATTAAAAGACTTTAAATTTTTAAATCGAACTGATAAGTGATTTATTTTTCGATTGTTTATGTCCATATTAATATACAGCCTATATATATAATCACACTTTTGGTTTATATACCTGTCATACAGTAATAATATCATAGATATACTCTACGCGATGACACGCTCTGTATTATAGCCTTTCTCGTCGGGGGGAGGAGGGGAGAGTTTCTTTGGAATTACGCTAAATAAAATTCCCATATGTCTTCAAAAATTACGAGTAGGACCCAAGCCTTCTTTGACAAGAAATTTTGTTATTCTGGGCCCATCTTTCTGGCCTCTTAATTTCAGTTCAGAATTTACGCGAAGCTCATGTTTGGCGCTTAATATTGACTTCAGGATACACCGTATCGATATAATTATCTAGCAATTGTAACCGACATTTGCATCAAACAGACACGTTGTTTGAACAACTCTAACAGCTAATAAGACACAGGAATCTGGCCGTCTTTTGATATTGACAGTCCAGGACAATAGTATTATATTAATGATTGTACACCAATATTCCTGTTCACACTCCACATAGATGTTTTTAATCAATTCTATAAGATGGTCAGAATTGTCGTCGATTCCAGGCATATCACTGTTAAGTTACATCATCCAGTAACTATTGCTTGTCGAAACTACGTAACTCGCTAATACTAATCAGAAATAGCGAAATTTGGTAATGCAGAATATTATTTTATTCTGTGGGTAAGTAGGGAAAAGACACCTCTTTTTTTTCTTATCAACTTTAGATGAGTTTCTCCTGTAATGATTATAATCCGTTAGTTATATTGTCTTCAATTTTATAATTACTTAGTAATGCTTAAGGGATGCGAGCTTTCTATCAGCGTGGAGGGCTTTGTTGTGGACTAAGCTACAGCTTCATGGTAGAGATGGTGTAATGATCGCCTACAAAATAACAATTACTCTGAATAGTTAATGAGACCCCGAGAACGACTACACTCCTATCAACAACATGAGTGGCGTTTCATAAAAGTTCATCGTCTTCTGGATGCAAATGCTTACCATGGACTGCTTACCATGGACTGCTTACCATGGACTGCGTTCCATACCAGAAGGGCATCAGGTCTGCGAGCGCAACGCAGAAGACAATCTTTGAATTCGCAATTTCCAGTCCGTCCACAATTTAACCACTCGAAGTTGTTAAAAGTTTGACTAATTGTGATTTCTCCGCTTCTGAGCAAAAGTGTATTCCCACTAGTTTCTTGGGTGATCCAATAACAAGAATATTGTGAAGACGCAAAGCTCTTTAAAGCATTGTGTATTTCGGCATCAAATATTCACTGTTGTGATTGTATGTACTAAACCCAGTACCATCGTGATATGACTTCAATAGTCTGCGGATGACATTTCTCAAATGCAAAGAAAAGTGATTGAACCCTGCCCGCCTTCAGCCATCTTGTAAATCGACGTATTATAACCAAATGTATATTTGGCATGTCCTTTCCAAATGTTTGTTATAATAAGGTTGCTTCTCTTTTTTATTTTATCACCTTGCATCCAACAAGCGAAAATAATGCTGATAATAATTACATAGCGTTGAAATCGTCGCCTAAAGAGAAAGGTATTACAAAGGGCCAAAAGGATGTATTAGCCAACTTTTTAACAACTTGCGGAATGAACAAAACCTGTATTGATGTATCTGAGCGTGGCATTGGTCAAAAATAGCCGTTTCGTTTGGGAGATATTGAGTTTAGACAGCACGATCTTTTCCAATAATTCATGTTTGTAGTTATAAGGTAACAGAAACCGTTAAGCTTCGATACATTATTCGTCGATTTTTGCATACGGACATTTTGGGACATCAAAAAAACCCAAATGTCCTCTTTTTTCATGAGAAATTTTCGATCGATCAGTTTCTGACACGTGCAAACTTATAATACATTCAGCTGAGCGCCCAATCACATCCATTTAACAACAATACAAATGCAATTTGCTAACCTCATGTTCGAAGGCACTTTCTCCACTTTCTTCCCATCGACTTTACTACGACTCGCGCAATGTCGGTTAGTAGTACCCCAATGGCGGACAACAATAAACCAGTGATCAAGAACGTTGATATGACTGAAGAAATGCAACAGGAAGCTGTAGAAGTCGCTCGCATAGCCTTGGAAAAGTATCCTATCGAAAAAGACATTGCTGCTTATATCAAACGTGAGTTCGATAAGAAACACGGAAGCACCTGGCATTGTATTGTCGGAAGGAATTTCGGGAGTTATGTTACGCATGGTGAGGTTTTATGTCTCGTTTATTCTGTTCGAATCTTGAAAACCAACTAATCCATTGTGTATATACCGCAATTACTAAACGACTGTAGAAACCAAACACTTCATCTATTTCTATCTTGGTCAGATGGCCGTATTATTATTCAAATCCGGATAATATGTTATGGAGCTTTCCTCAGCCAACTTACCGGATTATTTTATTTTCAGCGATGACATTCTTGCTCTTGATTTCATAGTAAAACTGATCACCCGACGGTATACAGTAGTGGCGGAAAATAATGAGAATTTTAAATTTTTTATTTCTCAGTTGAGGTGCATTTATTTTACATAAAATTTTATATACATGTTCGCAAGAACATAAAATTATAAAAATAAAATTTTAGTGATCAATTATTAACTCCCCCTCTTCCAATAACAGCCTCTAAATACCTTTTTATGCCAGAACGTAAATTCGATCGAATAAAATTTATCGATATTATCTTATATTGATCAAATGATCATAAAAAGTCACTAATCCAATCAATTTTTTTGTAGAATACGTTGGTTTACCCTTTTTTCTTACCCTTCTCTCATTATTGCCCATAAGTTTTTTATAGGGTTCAGGTGAGATAAATAAGAACATTTTTCTTTAAGTAGCTTCTTTGTCAACTTGGCTGTGTGCTTTGGATCTTTATCTTGTTGGAAATTCATAATTTTCTATCAGTGTTGATGATTTGAGAAAAAAATTCTCTGTTAAAATTTCAGCTAAAATTCCCCATTCACGTTTTCAATAAAACAGTTAAATTCAATAGCTTTCTATGAACAAGAAACATCTTTCTGCAATAAGTTTTTTGACCTTCTTGAACATAATTTCGGTTTAATGGAAGCTAATACTGAACGTTTTTATACAAAATGGTATGGGAGTATATGTTGCCTTATGAAGCTGAGATATATTATGAACTCCGTTTTTTCACAAATTATCGACATTTGAACGTCTTCGGGTTAATGTAAGTTAATTAGGCATTTTTTATAGCAAAATTATGAAAGCAAACAAAGAACGCGTGTTGTTGGTCCAATTATTATTTTTATTTATATATTTATTATCTGATGTAATAGTAACTGTCTATTACTATATATAAGTATTGATAGTAAACAAAACAGAGAGTGTGTAAATCTTAGCTAAAGTAATTGCATGATTTTCTCATTATTATTATTTTCCGTCACCACTGTAAGATTTCGATGTTTGCGTTATAGTTAAGCATAAATTATGTGACAACGTCGAAATAAATATCACTCTGAGCTTATTGCGATTTGGGTCAGAACATTAATATTAACAATGTTAAGGAAAGTGAAAGTCCAGAAATTGCTGGTACTTTAATGACTTTAGAACAACATTTTTGACCTAATACTAAAGATAATTGGATAAATGTTCAGTTATTTTTGGTAATGAATTCAACTCTCGAAAATGTTGTTAAAGGCTTTAAGCAAGTGAACATTAATTAATTATAATGCAAATAAATTCTTTTATGATAAAAATAAGAAATTAGAAGAAAAGAATAATATTCTAGAAAAAAAAGTTGCTGAATTAGAAAAAGGCAATCAAGGGTTGGAAGAAGCATTAGAGTTAGAGGAGAAAACATCTGAGTAGCTGAACAATGGAGAATCAGATAAAGCAAAAAAAAGATGACATAGACAATTTAGAAAAAGCTTCAAAAAAAATAAAAATACTGTGGCATGGCAAATTATTTAGCAGATAAGCAACTTCAAAAATTACCAGAAACACCAGCTTTACCACAGAAAGAAAGAAAATTCAAACTCCTAACTAACAAAGTAAAGAACAAAATTAAGCAATAAAAGGAATAACCAGGGAAAAATTCAACACCTACATTTTACAAAAGGATAAATTAGAATATCAGGCTGTCAAGTTAGGAAGAGGAGATAAATGGCATTGCAATTTCTGCTCTTTTGAAAGAGAAAGAAGTTTAACTGCTACTTACAAAATAGTATCTTACAATACGAGCAATAATAATTACAATGACATTGCTTATATTTGCGTTGAATGTAAAAAGCTCTTGAGAATGATACTCTGCCACATTGTAATGATTGTGGTCGAGATATGGGCAGAATAGACTGTTCCCGTGATTTAATATTAAGGAAAGATGAACTAGTTAAAACTCTGATGATAATGGAAATGATGGCACAGAGTTATGTTGGTAAGTTAAAAAGCAAAATAAAGATTTAAAACAGCAACTATGACTAGCCAGTGCTAAGGAAGAAATCAGTTTTCACTTGGAAGCTTTAGAAGTTTCAAATTAACATAATAACCAAAAGCAAGAATTATTAGATAAAATTCAAAGACTTGAAAGTGAGGTCAAACTCCTAAGGAAACAACAGCCTCAACAAGTTGTTCAAATCAAAGTTAAAGAGCCTAAGAAATGACCTTGATTAAAGTTAAAATAGTATATAGTCAAAAATTAACAGAGTTAAAAGCAAAAAGTGAATTATTTTTCTTCTTGACAAACTTTATAAGTAATTTTTTCTTTGTTTAAATAATTTTGCAAAGTTTTGGTGCAATTTAACACTTCTGATTGTGCTGTAATTCTTGTTTCATTCACTCCTCTAATATTTTTACTGAAAAATTAATGAAGTTTTGTAGTGCAAAAAAGTAAATCATTTTTTATTTGTTTTTATCCTATTGCGGGATTTATTGCATTATACAGACATTTATGTTTAGTAATGCAAATGGTGCGTTGATAAAAATTTATTTTTACACTGTTATTCCGAGAACACGAGTCACGGGGTTGGGGGTAATATGATTATATCATATGAGCACACCGATCTATAATTTATGCCATGTTTACGCGACCAAACCTATACTTACAAACTCTAGCTGAATCGAAACTAAAAAAAAAAAAAGATGAACCTTCTATTGGGAATGAAGGTAAGCTCTCAAACTTGCAGACTTGCTTTTCGATAGTGGACTGATTCTCCTTATTGATTTTCCAGCTGTTTTAAAATATTTCGAAACGTACGATGGACTTACGAACATTTTTTAAATAAATTAAAAGAAACAATTATAACCTCGCCACCATGTACTAACGACTGGAGCGGTTTAGATGGTGCATGTTATGGTCGATATATTTATCATGTCAATAGATTTCGTGATCACTTGATTGTAAATCGCGAGTAGACGTCTGGAGGGAAATTGAGTACTAGAGTGATGAATTCAAATGGTGATATAAAATTCATTATATAAACGACTTTTCTCCCAGGCGGAAAAAGTAAGTTGATTACTGCTGAGGGTAAACTGGAGTGGAACTACTTCCCTGGGTGGCTTCATCTTTTGTAATAATATTAATATCCGTTATTGACTATTGGAAATGTTGTATTATTTTGTTCTCTATCGATACTTTGATGTAAGAATTCCCTAGTGACTAATAAGACATGTTACGGAATAATTATTTCGTTATAAAATCATGGCGATTAATAAGCAGGACATGAAAAGTATTCGGCTATTATATTATTCTCTGAATTGACACTTTGCATATAAGTTCTTCGCGATTAATAAGACAA